CCGTATCCCCCATGTCCCCGTGTCCCCCTTTCCCCTCGTTCCCCCCATGTCCCCGTGTCCCCCTTTCCCCCCCGTGTCCCCATGTCCCCGATGTCCCCGTGTCCCCAGGGCGCTGCTGGTCAATCAGGTCGGGCTGCTCTGCATCGTGGCCAGCGCCGTGGCCTGCGGGCTCGTCATGTTCGCGCTCTACGGCCGCTGTGACCCGCTGCTGGCCGGGGCCATCGCCGCCCCCGACCAGGTACGGCCCCCCCGGGACCCCCCCGGGCTCACAGCGGGGTTTGGGGTGCCACGGGATCGTGGTGCCAGCAGGACACCCCGAGGCTGTGGGGTCACAGGGGGTTTTGGGGTCCCCTCAGGACCCCTCAGGAGCTCCCAGTGGGGTTTTGGGGTCCCTTGGGATCCAGATCCTCCCCAGGACCCCTCAAGCAGTGGGGTCTGAGGGGGTTTTGGGGTTCTCCAGGATCCTCATCCCTCCACCATCCCCTGAGGCAGTGGAGTGGGAGTTTAGGGGGCTCACAGAGGGTTTTGGGGTCCCACAGGAACGTGATCCCAACAGGACACCCCCGAGGTTGTGGGGTCACGAGGGGATTTTGGGGTCCCCCAGGGTCGTCCCCCTTCCAGGACACCCCAAGGTTGTGGGGTCATAGGGGGTTTTGGGGTCCCCTGGGGTTCTGCCCCTTCCAGGACCCCTCAGGAGCTCCCAGGGGGATTTTGGGGTCCCTTGGGATCCAGATCCTCCCCAGGACCCCTCAAGCAGTGGGGTCAGAGGGGATTTTGGGGTCTTACAGGGATCCTGCCCCCCTCCATCACCCCCGGAGGCAGTGGGGTGGGAGTTTGGGGGGCTCCCAGGAGGTTTTTGGGGGTCTCCCAGCGGTCCAGCACCCCCTGAGGCAGTGGGGTGGGAATTTGGGGGGCTCCCAGGGGTTTTGGGGTCCCCCAGTGGTCCATCACCCCCAGAGGCAGTGGGGTGGGGTTTGGGGGGCTCCCAGGGGTTTTGGGGTCCCCCAGGGGTCCATCACCCCCGGAGGCAGTGGGGTGGGGTTTGGGGGGCTCCCAGGAGGTTTTGGGGTGCCCCCTCAGCCCTGTCCCCTCAGTACATGCCCTACCTGGTCCTGGACATCTTCGGGAGCACGCCGGGGGTGCCGGGGCTGTTCCTGGCCTGCGCCTACAGCGGCACGCTCAGGTGAGGAGGGGTCCCGGCCTGGGGACACGGGCGGGGGGTGCCACCCCCCCGGTGTCCCCACGGGGCTGACGGGGTCACCTCGTGCCCAGCACGGCCTCCACGTCCATCAACGCCATGGCTGCCGTCACCGTGGAGGACCTGGTGCGGCCGCGGCTGCCGGCGCTGTCCCCCAGGAGGCTGACGCTCATCTCCAAGGGACTCTGTGAGTGCCACCGGCCCGGGGACACCGCGGGGGACACGGCTGGGTCACCCCCACAGGGTCACCCCACAGGGACACGCGTGGGTCACCCCTGCCCGGGATGGGTCGCCCCAATTTGGGATGTGCCAGGCTGTGCCATGCCACTGCACCCTACGGATGCCATCTCAATGCCATCCCATCAATCCCTTAAATCCCATCAATCCCATCGCATCCGTCCCATCCCATAAAGCCCATCCCATCCCATTCCACCCCATCAATCCCACCAATCCCATCAATCCCATCCCATCAATCCCATCCTATCAATCCCAAACCAATCCTATAAATCCCATCCCAATCCCATCCCATCAATCCCATCCCATCCCATCCCATTAACCCCATGGATCCCATCCCATCAATCCCATCCATCCCATTCCCTAAATCCCAACCCAATCCTATAAATCCCATCCCAATCCCATCCCATCAATCCCATCGCATCCGTCCCATCCCATAAATCCCGTCCATCCCATTCCCTAAATCCCAACCCAATCCTATAAATCCCATCCCATCCCATTCCACCCCATCAATCCCATCCCATCCCATCCCATCCCATCAATCCCATCCATCCCATTCCCTAAATCCCAACCCAATCCTATAAATCCCATCCCATCCCATTCCACCCCATCAATCCCATCCCATCCCATCCCATCCCATCCCATCCCATCCCATAAATCCTAAACCAATCCTATAAATCTCATCCCATCCCACCCCATCCCATCCCATCAATCCCATCCATCCCATTCCCTAAATCCCAACCCAATCCTATAAATCCCATCCAATCCCATTCCCCCCCATCAATCCCATCCCATCCCATCCCATCCCATCCCATCCCATCCCATCCCATCCCATCCCATCCCATCCCATCCCATCCCATCCCATCCCATCCCATCCCATCCCATCCCATCCCATCCCATCCCATCCCATCCCATCCCATCCCATCCCATCCCATCCCATCCCATCCCATCCCATCCCATCCCATCCCATCCCATCCCATCCCATCCCATCCCATCCCATCCCATCCCATCCCATCCCATCCCATCCCATCCCATCCCATCCCATCCCATCCCATCCCATCCCATCCCATCAATCCTATCAATCCCCCCCCCATCCCATATTCCCACAGCTCTCACCTTCGGCACCTCCTGCATCACCGTGGCCGCTCTGTCCTCGCTGCTGGGGGGGGGTGTCCTGCAGGTGAGAGCCCCCCCAGACCCCAAATCCCCTCCCTCGGCTTCTACCGCCCCAAAAAAACCCAAAACACCCCAAACCCCCCCAAAAAACCCCCACGCTGTCTGTGCCCACCCAAGCGGGGACACTGCGGGGACACAGTGGGGACAAGGCCACGCTCTGGTGGCACCCGGAGAGCCCTCGAGGAGGGGGGATTGGGCTCTGCCAGGCGCCCTGGAGCTCTCCCAGACCCCAAAAAACCCCAAAAATACACCCCAAACCCCCCAAACTCCCCCACTCTCAGTGCCCACCCGAGCGGGGACACTGTGGGGACACAGTGGGGACAAGGCCACGCTCTGGTGGCACCTGCAGAGCCATCGAGGGTGAAGGGCTTAGGGCAGTGCCAGGGCACCCCTGGAGCTATCCCAGACCCCAAAAAACCCCCCCAAAATCCCCAAAACCCCCCCAAGTGCTTATCCAAGCGGGGACAGTGCAGGGACACAGCGGGGACACGGCCACACTCTGGTGGCACCCGGAGAGCCCTCGAGGGGAGGAAGTTGGGGCAGTGCCAGGCCCCCCTGGAGCTATCCCAGACCCCCAAGAAATTCCCAAAAAAAAACCCCAAAAAACCCTAAACCCGCCCCAAACCCCCCCCGCTCTCTGTGCCCACCTGGTTTCAGGTCAGGGGTTTGGGGGATTTGGGGTTTGGGGTCTGTGATTTGGGGTTTGGGGGATTTGGAGACACCACGGAGATGGTTTGGGGATTTCGCGGATTAGGGGGATTTTGGAGAATTTGGGATTAGGGGGATTTTGGGGTGGGGAGGATTTTGAGGTGGGGGGGTTCTGCCACTCAGCACAGCCATGGGGACATTTGGAATTTTTGGGGGTCTATGCAGCCTCCCCGGGCCCTGCTGACCCCCCTGTCCCTGTCCCCTCCCTGTCCCATCCCTTTGTCCCTGTCCATCCCTTTGTCCCTGTCCCTGTCCCCTCCCTGTCCCTGTCCCCATCCCTTTGTCCCTGTCCCCTCCCTGTCCCTGTCCCCATCCCTTTGTCCCTGTCCCCTCCCTGTCCCTGTCCCCATCCCTTTGTCCCTGTCCCCTCCCTGTCCCTGTCCCCTCCCTGTCCCTGTCGCAGGCGGTGCTGGGTGGCCTGGCCGTGGGCCTGGCTCTGTCCCTGTGGGTGGCCGTGGGTGCCACCCTGTACCCGCCCAGCGCGGCCACCATGGGGGTGCTGCCCACCTGGGGGACGCTGTGCCCGCCCCGCAATGTCACCAACGCCACCAGCGCCACCAGCGGCCCCGCCCTGCCCGCGCCACCCCCGGAGCCGCTGCGGTGAGCGGGGCTGGGGACACCTCTGTCCCTGGGGGTGGCACCTCCCTGTCCCTGTCACTGTCCCTGTCCCCTGGGGTGGCACCTCCCTGTCCCTGTCCCCTGGGCTGGCACCTCCTTGTCCCTGTCCCTGTCCCCTGGGGTGGCATGTCCCTGTCCCTGCTGGCGCTGATGTCACGTCCCTTTTCCTGCTGGCTGTGATGTCACACCACTGTCCCCATTCCCTGTGACGTCACACCCATGTCCCTGCCGGCTGTGACGTCACACCACTGTCCCCATTCCCTGTGACGTCACACCCCTGTCCCTGCCGGCTGTGATGTCACACCACTGTCCCCATTCCCTGTGACGTCACACCCCTGTCCCTGCCGGCTGTGATGTCACGTCACCGCCCCTGCCTGTTGTGACATCGCAGCAACGTCCCTGTCCCTTACGATGATGTCACACTGCTTCCCTTGTCCCTTGTGACGTCACACCCCTGTCCCTGATCCTTGTGACGTCACAGCCCTGTCCCTGTTCCCTGTGACGTCACACCTCTGTCCCTGCTGGCTGTGACGTCACACCCCTGTCCCTGTTCCCTGTGAGGTCACCGGGTGTCCCTGCGGGCAGTGATGTCACACAATGTCCCTGCGCCGGTGTCACCCCGCTGTCCCCTGTCACAGCCCGGCCATCCTGGATGACTTCTACTCCGTGTCCTACCTGTACTACGGCGCCTTGGGGACACTGGGGACCGTGGGGACAGGGGCCCTGCTCAGCCTGCTGCCAGGTGAGGGGGGATGGCCCTGTCACCCCCTGTGTCACCCCCTGTGCCACCCTGTCCCTGTCCCCCTTCTCTGTGACCTCATTCCTGTCACCCGTCCCTGTCACCGTGTCCCCTCCCGGCAGGGCCAGCCCGGCAGAGCCGCTGTCCCCAGGGTGTGCTGTGGTGGGACATCGTCAGGGCCACGCCCTCGGGTGTCCCCAAGGGTGACAGCACCCCCGGGGACGAGGACAAGGACAAGGACAAGGACAAGGACAAGGACAAGGACAAGGACAAGGCCGCGGTGACCCAGGCGCTGCTGGAGAGGCCGGACGGGGAGGGGACACCCCCGAGTGACCCCCCCAGGGGTGGCACCGTCACCGAGAGCGACGTGTAGGGGACAGCGGGGTGGGGACACGGGGACAGCAGGGTGGGGACACAGGGACAGTGTGGGGACACGGTGCTGGCCCCAATAAAGGAGCTGCTGATCCTGGACAGAGCCTGTCCTTGGGGGGACAGGGAGGGGACACGGGGGGGAGACAGGGAGGGGACAGGGAGGGGACACAGGGGGGAACAGGGAGGGGACAGGGAGGGGACACAGGGCACAGGGAGGGGACACAGGGAGGGGACATGAGGGGGGACAGGGAGGGGACACGGCCGCTGTCCCTCAGGTGACACTGCTGGAATGGTGGGGGGGGGGTCACAGGCGTGGGTGGAATTTGGGAATCAAGAGCTGCCCTGGTGAGCCACGCCCACCTAAGGGACAATGGCCACACCCTGCCAAGCTCCGCCCACCACGAGGACAATGGCCACACCCTGCTAAGCCCCGCCCCCAAGGTGACAATTCCGACTCCTGCTGGTGACAAAGGGCCCCTCCCCTCTAAGCCCCGCCCACCCATCTGACAGCGACCCCGCCCTTTTAAGCCCCGCCCACCCCTCAGGAGCCTCTCAGGGCGCCGCCATCTTTGAACCGGGCACAGCCTCCGCCGCCGGCGGGCGTTGCGCGAATTCCCCGCGGATTTTTAACACCGCGCCGCCCTGAGCGTGACTCTCCTCCCGTCCCGCCGCTCCCTCCGCTCCTTGCGCTCCCTCCGCCGCGTCTCCCGCAAAGAAACAGCAAAGCTGTCCCCGGCCGTGCCCTAAACAAACATGGCGGCAGCGCGCCCTGCCCGCCCCTTCCATAGCGGGGTGACGGCGCGCGGTGATGACGCACAAAGCGCGCGACGGCCGGGGCGGCGGGGCCCGGTAGGAGCGGGGCCGGTTCGGGGCCGGGCCCGGGCCGGGAGCGAGGGGAAGGGACGGCAGCGGGGACACCGCGGGGTGGCGGGGAGGGGAGGCCGGGGGGGCTGGGACAGGCCCGGGGGTCTCTTTTTGCCGGCCCCCAGGTGAGGCCCTGCCCCGGTGCCGCTCCTGGGCAGGCTCGGGGGGCGGGAGAAGGGATTTTGGGGAGGGTGAAAATGCAGGAGAAAGGATTTTAGGATGGCTCCGAGGATGTTCCAGGCCGGAGAAAGGGTTGAGTCCATCCCAGGCTGGGCAAAGCTCGGGAGTGGAGCAGCCCGTTTGTTTTTAATTGAATTTAATTCGTAATTGTCGACGATTAAAATCAAAGATTCTGCCCCAGAGCTCCCAAAGCTGCGATTTCCCCCGTGTTTGGTTGGTTTGAAAGCTCCTTTTTCCTTGGATTTGACTTTTCCCACCCTGGATAACAACCCCAGCCCATTTTTGGGGCGGTTTATCCAAATTAAAGGAGTTTCTCCCCTCCCTGGATCGGGACAGAGGCGCCTCAATCCCGTTTTTTCCTGGCTCGGGTTTTTTTTTTTTTGGATTTCCAGGTGCTTTTTCCATGGGCTGAGAGGCTGGAGTTTGGCCAGGAGGGAGCAGATTTGGGATCAGCCACAATCTGGAGGAAATCTGGGAAATTTATCCCGATTTGGGGTTGGGATAAATCTGGGATAAATCAGGGGGACGATCCCAGTTTTTAACTCGGTTTTGGGGACTTTTCCCCTCTCCAAATCCCCAAAATCTGGGGAGGGGCTGGAGAATTTTTGGGAAGGGAATGGAGAATTTCTGGGAAGAAGCTGGAGAATTTTTGGGAAGGGGGTGGAGAATTCCTGAGCGAAATTGGGAAGAGAATAGAGAATTTTTGGGAAGGGGCTGCAGAATTCCTAAGGGAATGGAGAATTTTTGGGAAGGGGGTGGAGGATTTTGGGAAGAGGCTGCAGAATTCCTGAGGGAAAATGTGAAGGGGCTTTAGAATTTCTGGGAAATGGCTGGAGAATTTTTGGGAAGGGGGTGGAGAATTCCTGAGGGAAACTGGGAAGGGAATGGAGAATTTTTGGGAAGGGAATGGAGAATTTTTGGGAAGGGAATGGAGAATTTCTGGGAAGTGGCTGGAGAATTTTTGGGAAGGGGGTGGAGAATTCCTGAGCGAAATTGGGAAGAGAATAGAGAATTTTTGGGAAGGGGCTGCAGAATTCCTAAGGGAATGGAGAATTTTTGGGAAGGGGGTGGAGGATTTTGGGAAGAGGCTGCAGAATTCCTGAGGGAAAATGTGAAGGGGCTTTAGAATTTCTGGGAAATGGCTGGAGAATTTTTGGGAAGGGGGTGGAGAATTCCTGAGGGAAACTGGGAAGAGAATGGAGAATTTTTGGGGAGAGGCTGGAGAATTTTTGGGAAGGGGCTGGAGAATTTCTGGGAAGTGGCTGGAGAATTTTTGGGAAGAGGTCAGAGAATTTTTGGGAAATGGCTGGAGAATTTTTGGGAAGGGGGTGGAGAATTCCTGAGGGAAACTGGAAAGAAGATGGAGAATTTCTGGGAAATGGCTGGAAAATTTTTGGGAAGAAGTCAGAGAATTTTTGGGAAATGGCTGGAGAATTTCTGGGAAGGGGCTGGAGAATTTTTGGCAGGAGTCTGGGGAATCCTGAGGGAAACTGGGGAAGGAAACCTCGGGAACTTTTAACCCCCATCCCCACAAATTCCCGAGCGTGCAAACTCCCAGCTACGCCTGCCTGACCTCCAACCTCAACCCCAACTCACCCCGTGACAAACCCCCCGAAAAACCGACCCCAAGTCCGTAGGGAACCCTGATTTCTCCCGGTTTCCCACAGGGTTTGAGGGATGCCCAAGAAATTCCAGGGGGAGAACAGCAAGTCGGCGGCGGCGCGCGCCCGCAGGGCCGAGGCCAAGGCGGCGGCGGAGGCGCGGCGGCAGCAGGAGCTGGAGGATGAGCTCTGGAAGGACGAGGACAAACACGTCCTGAGGAAGGAGCAGAGGAAGGTGGGGATCCCAAATCCTGGGAGAAGGGAGATGGGGAAGGTTTGGGATGAGGAGAGGGGAAAGTCTGGGAATCAAAAGAGGGGAAAGTCTGGGAATCAAAAGAGGGGAAAGTCTGGGAGTGGGGAGGAACCACGTGAGGGAGAGGAGGGAAAATTCTGGGAATGAGAGAAGGAAGAGCCCTGGGAATGAGAGGAAAAATAGTCCTGGGAATGAGGGAGAGGAGGAAAAAGCCTGGGAATGAGGGTGAGGAGGAGGAAGGCTGGGAATGAGGGCGACGCGGCGGCAGCAGGAGCTTTCATTAATGAATCCTTCCATGGATCCTTCCATGAATCCTTCCGTGAATCCTTCCATGGATGCATCCATGGGTTCATCCATGGATTCATTAATTAATCCTTCCATGGGTCCTTCCATGAATCCATCCATTGATCCATCTATGGATCCATCTATCCATGAATCCGTCTGTGGGTCCATTAATGAGTCCATCCATGGATCCATCACTCCCGAGGTGCCATCCCAGGGAATTCCCATCTTCCTGGGGTGGGTGTGACCCCCTGGGGTGACAGATCCGTGTGCCGTTCCCAGGAGGAGCGGGAGGAGCGGCACCTGGAGCATCTGGAGCTGCTCCATCCATGGATCCATCCAATAATCCATCCATGAATCCATGGATCCATTCATTCATGGGTGCATCCATGGATCCTTCCATGGGTCCATCCATGGATCCATGGGTTCATTAATGAATCCTTCCATGGATCCATCCATGGATTCATCCATGAATCCATCCAAGGGTCCTTCCATGAATCCATCCATGGATCCATGGATTCATTAATGAATCCTTCCATGGATCCTTCCATGAATCTATCCATGGGTCCATCCTTGAATCCATCCATGGATCCATGGATTCATTAATGAGTCCTTCCATGGATCCTTCCATGGATCCTTCGATGAATCCTTCCATGAATCCTTCCATGGATCCTCCCATGGATCCATCTATGGGTCCATCCATCCATGAATCCATCCATGGATCCTTCCATGGATCCTTCCATGAATCCATCCATGGATCCATCTATGGATTCATCTATCCATGAATCCTTCCATGGATCCATCCATGGATCCATCACTCCCGAGGTGCCATCCCAGGGAATTCCCATCTTCCTGGGGTGGGTGTGACCCCCTGGGGTGACAGATCCGTGTGCCATTCCCAGGAGGAGCGGGAGAAGCGGCGCCTGGAGCAGCTGGAGCGCCGCAAGGAGCTGCAGCGGCTGCTGGAGGAGGAGGACTCCAAGCTCAAAGGGAAAACTCCCAAGCAGGGAAATCCTGGGAAAATCACCCGGGCCCAGATCGAGGAGAACGTCCGCAAGGAGCAGCAGCAGAGGGAAAACACGGATGCAGGTTTGGGAATTCCCTGGGAATTCTGGGCTGGGGAGCTGCTGCTGCACCAGGAGACACCTTGGGAATGGCTGAGGGTGGTTTGGGATTCCCATTCCCTGGAATTGTCCCCAAAAATCGTGGATGCGGCGCTTTGGGGGTGGGGTGTGGTGTTGGGTTTGATCCCAAAGCTCTTTCTGGATGTGGAATTCCCTAAAATTCTGTGATTTATACTCCTGGGCTTCTTGATTTTCTGTATCCGTGTCTTTCCCATTCCCACATTTCCCATTCCCATTCCCACACTGGGTGTGACCATTCCCACATTTCCCATTTCCCATTCCCACATTTCCCATTCCCATTCCCACATTTCCATTCCCATTCCCACATTTCCCACTCCCTCACTTCCCTTTACAGAGGAAAAAGATTTTCTTTTTTTCACATTTCCATTCCCATTCCCACATTTCCCACTCCCTCACTTCCCTTTACAGAGGAAAAAGATGGGTTTTTTTTAAAGAAAAAATTGAGTTTTCCAAGGAAACAACTTGAATTTTCCAGAGGAAAAATTGGAGTTTTTTTAGAGGGGAAAATTCCAGATGAAAAAAACGAAGATTTTCAGAGGAAAAATTAACATTTTTAGAGGGGAAAATTTCCCGGGGAGTGGTTTTAAGGGAAAACCCGAGTTTTCCAGAGGGACAATGGGTTTTTCCCGAGGGAATCCCGCAGCATTCCCGGTTTTCCCGGCAGTGGAGAAGGAGAAATCGCACCTGGAGCTGCCGCTGGAGGAGAACCTGAACCGGCGGCTGCCTGAGGAGGGCGCTGTGGAGGCGCGCAGCATCGAGGACGCCATCGCCGCCCTCAGGTGCGCCCCGACCCCAAAATCCCCCCCAAATCCCCCCAAAATCCCCCAGGGATGGTCCCTGAAACTCCCCCGGGGGTTGGGATCCCGGCGGGAATGCGGGATTTGGGGTGGCTGGGATGGGGGTGCTGTGGGATTGGGGGATCTGGGACATCCTGTGGGATTGGGGTGTCCCTGGAATTCCTGGGGGGTTCCTGTGGGATTGGGGTGTCCCTGGAATTCCTGGGGGGTTCCCGTGGTATTGGGGTGTCCATGGGAATTCCTGGGGGGTTCCTGTGGGATTGGGGTGTCCCTGGAATTCCTGGGGGGTTCCTGTGGGATTGGGGTGTCCCTGGAATTCCTGGGGGGTTCCTGTGGGATTGGGGTGTCCCTGGAATTCCTGGGGGGTTCCTGTGGGATTGGGGTGTCCCTGGAATTCCTGGGGGGTTCCTGTGGGATTGGGGTGTCCCTGGAATTCCTGGGGGGTTCCTGTGGGATTGGGGTGTCCCTGGAATTCCTGGGGGGTTCCTGTGGGATTGGGGTGTCCCTGGAATTCCTGGGGGGTTCCTGTGGGATTGGGGTGTCCCTGGAATTCCTGGGGGGTTCCTGTGGGATTGGGGTGTCCCTGGAATTCCTGGGGGGTTCCTGTGGGATTGGGGTGTCCCTGGAATCCCTGGGGGGTTCCTGTGGAATTGGGGTGTCCCTGAAGTTCCTGGGGGGTTCCTGTGGGATTGGGGTGTCCCTGGAATTCCTGGGGGGTTCCTGTGGGATTGGGGTGTCCCTGGAATTCCTGGGGGGTTCCTGTGGGATTGGGGTGTCCCTGGAATTCCTGGGGGGTTCCTGTGGGATTGGGGTGTCCCTGGAATTCCTGGGGGGTTCCTGTGGGATTGGGGTGTCCCTGGAATTCCTGGGGGGTTCCCGTGGGATTGGGGTGTCCCTGGAATTCCTGGGGGGTTCCCGTGGGATTGGGGTGTCCGTGGAATTCCTGGGGGGGTTCCTGTGGGATTGGGGTGTCCCTGGAATTCCTGGGGGGTTCCTGGTGGATTGGGGTGTCCCTGGAATCCCTGGGGCCGTTTCCTTTGGGGCTGGGGCTGTCCCTGGTGCCATTCCCTTTGGGACCGTGTCCCTCCGTGTCCCCTCCTGTCCGTGTCCCTCCCTGTCCCCTCCTGTCCTGTCCCTCCGTGTCCCCTGTCTCACAGCATGCCCGTCCCTGTCCCCTGGGGGCTGTGTCACTCCCTGTCCCCCCCAGTGTGTCCGTCCCTCTCCCCGCACCCTCGTGACCGTGTCCCTCCATGTCTCTGTTCCCCCGTGACCGTGTCCCCTCTGTCCCCAGCATCCCTGTCCCTCTGTGTCCCTGTCCCGCCATGACTGTGACCATGTCCCCCGTGTCCCCAGCATGTCCCACCCCCCTGTGACCGTGTCCCCTGTGTCCCCAGCGTGTCCCTTTCCCCCTGTGACCGTGTCCCCTCTGTCCCCAGCGTGTCCCATCCCTGCCCCGCCACAACCATGACCATGTCCCTGCTGTCCCTAGCGTGTCCCTTTCCCCCATGACCGTGTCCCCTGTGTCCCCAGTGTGTCCCACCCCGCTGTGACTGTGTCCCCTGTGTCCCCAGCGTGTCCCTTTCCCCCTGTGACCGTGTCCCCTGTGTCCCCAGCGTGTCCCATCCCCCCGTGACCATGACCCCTGTGTCCCCAGCATGTCCCAGCCCCTCCTGATGTGTCCCTTTCCCCCTGTGCCGTGTCCCCAGCGTGTCCCATCCCCCCATGAACATGTCCCTCCTTGCCCCCAGCATGTCCCATCCCTGTCCTCCCCACAACCATGACCATGTCCCTGCTGTCCCTAGCATGTCCCTTTCCCCCATGACCGCGTCCCCCGTGTCCCCAGCGTGTCCCTTTCCCCCTGTGCCGTGTCCCCAGCGTGTCCCTTTCCCCCTGTGCCGTGTCCCCAGCGTGTCCCTTTCCCCCTGTGCCGTGTCCCCAGCGTGTCCCTTTCCCCCTGTGCCGTGTCCCCAGCGTGTCCCTTTCCCCCTGTGCCGTGTCCCCAGCGTGTCCCTTTCCCCCTGTGCCGTGTCCCCAGCGTGTCCCTTTCCCCCTGTGCCGTGTCCCCAGCGTGTCCCTTTCCCCCTGTGCCGTGTCCCCAGCGTGTCCCTTTCCCCCTGTGCCGTGTCCCCAGCGTGTCCCACCCCCCTGTGACCGTGTCCCCACTGTCCCCAGCATGTCCCATCCCTGTCCCCCTGTAACCATGACCGTGTCCCCTCTGTCCCCAGCGTGTCCCAGCCCCTCTTGATGTGTCCCACCCCCCTGTGACTGTGTCCCCCGTGTCCCCAGCATGTCCCAGCCCCTCCTGATGTGTCCCACCCCCCATGACCGTGTCCCCTGTGTCCCCAGCGTGTCCCAGCCCCTCTTGATGTGTCCCTTCCCCCCATGACCGTGTCCCCCGTGTCCCCAGCGTGTCCCAGCCCCTGGAGCGCCACCCCGAGCGCCGTCTCCGCGCCGCCTTCGCCGCCTTCGAGGAGCTGCAGCTGCCGCGGCTGCGGCGGGACAACCCCAACATGCGGCTGAGCCAGCTGCGCCAGCTGCTCAAGAAGGAGTGGATGAGGTCCCCCGAGAACCCCCTGAACCAGCGGCACAAACCCTACAACAGCCACCCCTAGCCGGACTGGGCTCCCCGCCAGGACCGTCCCCCCGCGGCGCTTTTGGGGTTTTTGGTGTCTCTGTCTCCCCGCCGTGGGTTTGGGGTGAGCTGCAGGTCGGACTGATGGCGACTTCTCCTTCCTGGAGTCGCCTGGGGAGAGCGGCTCCCGGAGCTTCCCGGCGTTGCCTCCGTGGGATTCTGGAGTTGGCACGTGGGAAACGCTCCCGGGGTGTGAGCCCGAAGAGATTGCAGGCCCTGGGTCTCACCTGAGATCCCGGCTCCTGTTCCTTTGGGATTGGGATGTCCCTGAGATCCCTGCTCCTGTTCCTTTGGGATTGGGATGTCCCTGAAATCCTGTCCCTGTTTCCTTTGGGATGTCCCTGAGATCCCTGCTCCCGTTTCTTTGGGATATCCTTGAGATCCCTGCTCCGGTTTCTTTGGGATTGGGATGTCCCTGAGATCCCGGCTCCTGTTCCTTTGGGATATCCTTGAGATCCCTGCTCCTGTTCCTTTGGGGTTGGGATGTCCCTGAAATCCTGCTCCTGTTCCTTTGGGATATCCTTGAGATCCCTGCTCCTGTTCCTTTGGGATTGGGATGTCCCTGAGATCCCTGCTCCCGTTTCTTTGGGATTGGGATGTCCGTTGGGATTGGGATGTCCCTGAAATCATGCTCCTGTTTCTTTGGGATTGGGATATCCCTGAAATCCCTGCTCCTGTGATATCCCTGAAATCCCTTCTCCCATTTCCTTTGGGATTGAGATATCCCTGCTCCCATTTCCTTTGGGACTGGGGCCGTTTCCTTTGGGATTGGCCCATCCATGAAATCCCTGGTGCCATTTCCTTTGGGATTGGGGCTATCCTTGGTCCTGTTTCCTTTGGGATTGGGGCAGAAGCACTGGGAAGAGGGAAAATCCCTCGGGGAGGAGTGGGAAAAGCCTTTCCTGGGGGGGACAGGCACTCCAGGTGACATTCCCACTGTCCCCTGGAATGCTGGAGCCCCAAATCCACCCGGAGGAGGGATTCCCATCCTTTGGGAATGAAATTCCTTCCCAGGAATTGGCCTGGAGGTGCTGATTTCCCAAAATTTCCCAAAATCCCATAGGATTCATCCAGCCTCATCCTTTTCCCTCTTTTTGGGGCTGCCCCACCCTGGGCTGGGCCCTGTTCCTGCATCCCAGAATTCCCAAATCCAGCCAGGGAGGAGTGACCCCCCTCCACCCCTTTGTGTGAGTTTGGTGTGTTTGAATCCAATTAAAAATTTAAAGAAAAAACCCAAAATCCGATTAAATTGGGGAAGGAATAACTTGGGAAGGGTTTGGGGGGATTCTTCCCCTGCCTGGCTCAGTTTTATCCCTGAAAATGTGGAAGATCCCACTGGAATTGGGGGTGGGATTCCTGCTTGGACTGGGGGGGTTTCCCTCCCTTTGGGACCCCCGGGTTGTTCCTGAGGGGGGGAATCCCCCATTCCTGCTGCTCCTGGAATGAGGAACCCCTGGGAGTTGGGAACCCTTCCTGGGTCCCCCTGTTCCCATCTTGGGAATTCCCCTTCCCAATTCCCTTCCTTTTCCCATCCCTGTTCCCATTCCCCATTCCCATCCCTGTTCCCCTTTCTCATTCCCAATCCTATTCCCATTCCCCATCCCCATTTCCTGTCCCCATTCCCGTTCCTCATTCCCATTCCTCATTCCCATTCTCAACCCCATTCCCATTCCCCATTCCCAACCCCATTCCCCTTTCCCATTCCCGTTCCCTGTTCCCATCCCCGTTCCCATTCCCCTTCCCAATTCCCTTCCTTTTCCCATCCCTGTTCCCATTCCCCATTCCCATCCCTGTTCCCCTTTCTCATTCCCAATCCTATTCCCATTCCCCATCCCCATTTCCTGTCCCCATTCCCATTCCCCATTCCCATTCTCAATCCCATTCCCTGTTCCCCTTTCCCATTCCTGTTCCCCTTTCCCATCCCCGTTCCCATTCCCTGTTCCCCTTTCCCATTCCTGTTCCCTGTTCCCATCCCCGTTCCCATTCCCCTTCCCTGTTCTCCAATCCCATTCCCCTTTCCCATTCCCAGTCCTATTCCCCATTCCCGTTCCCCATTCCCATTCCCAATCCTATTCCCATTCCCCTTTCCCATTCCCATTCCCTGTTCCCCATTCTCAATCCCATTCCCATTCCCCTTTCCCATTCCAGTCCTATTCCCATTCCCAACCCCATTCCCGTTCCCCTTTCCCATTCCTGTTTCCTGTTCCCATCCCCGTTCCCATTCCCTGTTCCCCATTCCCGTTCCCCATTCCCATTCCCAATCCTATTCCAATTCCCATTCCCAACCCCATCCCCGTTCCCCTTTCCCATTCCTGTTCCCTGTTCCCATCCCCATTCCCATTCCCTGTTCCCCATTCGCCGTTCCCCTTTCCCATTCCCAACCCTATTCCCATTCCCATTCCCGGTGTCCCCTCTCCCCCCAGATCAGCCCCATGGGATCAGGGGGAATTGAGGGGTCCCTAAAGCATTTCCGGGGTCCCCCCCTTGCTTTGGGGGAGCCCCTCCATGCCGGGGGGTCCCCATTAAAGGGGGGAATCCCCCCGCGGGGGGAGGGGCGGGATTAGTGGGGGATCCCCCATTTCCCACGGGATTTGGGGGAATCCCGCAGTGCGGGGGGGGGGGGTCCCGGTGTCCCCCGCACTCGGGGATCCCCGCCGCAGTGGGGGGAGGGGCGGAGAGGGAGGGGATTCCCCGCCCCTCCCCCCTCGGCCACTCCCCTCCCCCTTTTTCCATCACTGGGGGGGTGGGGGAGACGGGACATTGCCATGGCAACGAGCGGGGGGGGCGGTCACGCGGGATCGGCTGGCACCGGGAATCCCCCCGCCCCCAAATCGGGCATCATCCCCCCCAAACCGGGAATTCCCCCAAAACCGGGCATACCCCCCAAACCGGGAATCCCCCCCCCAAACCGGGCATCCCCCNGGGGGGGTCCCAGGGGGTCACCAGGGGGGTCCCCATGGGGAGGGTTGGGGGGAGCCGCGGGTGGGCGATCGCCCCCCGGCCCCGCGGCTGGGAGGGAACCCCGTCAGGCGGCTGGGTTTATCCGCAGCGGGGCCCGGAGGCTCCGGGAGGCCCCGGGAAGCACCGGGAAGCCCCGGGAAGCACCGGGAGGCCCCCGGGAAGCCCCGGGAGGCGGCGGGGCGGGTGCGCGCGGCTGCGCGTGTGGAGCGGCATCGCAACGGCGCCGCATCGCCGCCCGCAGCCCCCGCGGCCGCCGCCTGCGCGCTGGGGAAACCGAGGCACGGCGCGGCCAGGAGGGGCTCGGCGGCACCGCGGAGCCGCTGTCCAGGCTCGCCCCCGGCCCCCGGTTGTGCCACCGGAACCCGCCGGGATCCCGGGCTCGGCGCCGCACGTGTCGCCGCCGCCGGGCCATGGTCAGCGGCGGCAGCGCCCGAGGGCAGCGGAGGCCGGGGGCTGGCGGCAGGTGGGTGAATTTGGGGGGGGGTCCGCGAGGGTGGAGACCCCCCCCTCGGCTCCAGGGGCGCTGCCGGTGCTGGGGAAGCCCGTGGCTGGCGGGAATCCCGGGAATCCCCGGCTCGGGAGGATCCCCCCGCCCGCGGGAAGCCCCCGGCGCAGGGCTCACGACCCCCCCTCAGCATCCCCCCCCGGCACCGAGCGGGGATTGCGGGCGTGGGACCGGACAGAGGGACAGGGACACACGGACAGGGGACAGGGACACACGGACAGAGGGACAGGGACACACGGACAGGGGACAGGGACACACGGACGGACAGGGACACACGGACAGGGACACACGGACAGAGGGACACAGGGACAGGAACACACGGACAAGGGACAGGGACACACGGACAGGGACTGGGCACGGACAGGGGGATAGGGACAAACGGACAGGGGACAGAAACACACGGACAGAGGGACAGGAAACACGGACAGGGACACACGGACACAGGGACACAGGGACAGGGACACACGGACAGGGACGCCGTGCTTTGCACGCCCCCCGTGCCCACTCCCCCCGCCCCCCGTTCCGTGTGGGTGTGGGGACAGCGGGGATGTCATGTCTGGGGGGTGACGAGGGTGGGGACAGTGGGGATGTCCTGCCTGGGTGGTGTTGTGGTGTGTGGGGACACTGGGGACACCCTCCCTGCGGGTGTGGGGACAGTGGGGATGTCCAGCCTTCTGGGGGGACGGCTGTGGGGACATCAGGGACGCCCTCCGTGTGGGTGTGGGGACAGCGGAGATGTCCTGTCTGGGGGGTGTTTGTGGTGTGGGGACATTGGGGACTCCCACCCTGCGGTGTTTGTGGTGTGGGGACATCGTTGTGGTGTGGGGACACCGGGGACTCCCTCCTTGGTGTGGGGACACCAGGGACGCCCCTCCCTGCGGGGTTCGGCTGCTCGGGGCACCCCCGGCTGCTGGAGTCGGGGGATTTGGGGGTTCCCGTCCTTGGGGACAATGTGGCTGCTGTCACCAAAGGCGTGAGCCCGGCTGAGGGCTTGGTGACACTCGGGGCTCCCCGGGGATTTGGCCGCCAGCTGCTGGGGTGGCACCGATGGCACAGGGGAGTGACAGCGATGGCACAGCGGGGTGACACCCGGCTCAGCAGCCACCAAAAGCAGGGGGACCCCGCGCCACAAACACGGCTGTGACACCGGGGTGGCACGTCCCGCCGCCACCGGAGCCGGCGGGCCGAGCCCGGGGGGCACCGGGGGCTCCGGGCGGGTTCGGGCCCCGCGTGGCCCTCGCGGCTTCGACGTGCAGCCGTCGAGGCGGGGACCGTGGGGACACACGGGGTCCTTCCCGCCCCCCGCGACCTTCCCGGTGACCTTGGCGCTGGGGGGGGGGGGGGGGGCCGGGGGGGCCC